TGGAATAATTTTTTTTTAATTGCGTTTATATCTTTTTTATTATTTCATATTCTTTTATTATATCGACAATATGATTCTGTAAATCATCAAAAGCCTAGCATGATTCTAAGCTCCATCTATATCTAGAGCATTATTGTATTTAAAAATGTTTTGCTAACAATTTGTGATAGTAAGATATACCTATCATTCCTAAAATGTATCATTCCAAAAATGTCCTACGACTTAATAAATACTAAAAATTTTAATAAGAATTTGTAAATACAATCTATGTACCTACTGTTATTTATAGGTGTGGTTCCTTGTTTGGACGATGATGACTGCAAATACTATAACAACGCTACCTGCATCCAGCCATCTTGTATGTGTAATGGTACGACATTTTGTATAGAAACGGTTGATACGGTGGTGACGAAGATCGGAGAAAATTGTACCAAATCCCAGGAATGTAATATAGGCCATTCGGAATGTCAAAATAATAAATGCGTTTGCGAAAAAGGTTACGTCCACACCGCCAATGGCAGAAAATGTTTGACAAGTAAGTACATTGGGATTTTAAGTTAATTTGAAAGTAATTAGGTAAAAGTTTCTCAAAATATATTAAGTTTATAAAGAATAAAAAGAGTAAAAAAGTTTTAAAATTAAATTTCGCATAAAATGAAATTAAAATTTGAAAAGCCGCCCATGAACAAAAATGTTCTGTATGGTTATAAATGTGGGTTACCACCTCTTAAAATACTTTAATTAATTCTTACTCACCCCCAAATTAAGACTCTTGAAGCGTCTAAATAGTGTACCAAATATAGATTTTTTAAATTAAACAGTTGCAAAAATATTACATTTTTTAAAATGTATGGCCCCACTAGGCTTTCGTAACTCTTTAGAGGTATAACTTGGTTTAGAGGTAATTTGCGTTAAATTTTGGGGTGTTCTGTATCGGTACTTATGCGAAATACCCTGTGTATAAAATATAACAAAAAATTTTAATTTTAATACACTTTTGATTATTATAAATATATTCTAATTCAAGAGAAGTACTTACTTGGATTTAGAGCAGAGCATAAGGGTTTCGTAGTACCCTACTTTTTAAGTGTATTTTTGACTTATTCTTAAAGAAAAAAATATGTGTGTCTAGTTAAATGTAAAATCTGTGCTTCTCTGGAGACACTTTTTCAAAATTTAATTTAAAAAAAAAAAATATATAAAACTCGACATTTTTTACCAATTTTCTCAAATTTTTTTTTAGAAAAAACTAAATTGAATTTTGAAAATAGGTCCAGAAGAGAATAGATTTAACCTTTACCTACACGTAGATATTTTTCCTTTTAAAAATAGTCGAAAATAAACTTAAAAAGTGGGGTACTACGAAACCCTTACGTTGCAAGATTTTTCGTCTGAAAAGTGGCGCCTCTGTTAGATTTTTAGGAAATTAATATTTGTGAATGAAAACAATTTATAATATATTTTACTGATGTTTTACGATGGATAATAGTATATTGTTTCACGAGTGACGAAAAATGATTTTCGACGAGTAAAACACTATACTTTTTCTACGAACTCTATTATGTCATGTAGGTACCTACTAAAATGAAAAAAAAAAAAAAAAACAAACGTTAGCAAATGCTTTATATTGTGTTAGGAATAACAAAAAATTAACCAACAATTAAATATTTCAGAAATATTATTTATTATTTAAATATTGATTTATTGTTATATTTGAACAATTGTTCAAAATTATAGGGGGTATCACACTCAAGCTTTTTATTTATTGAGGTAGATGCCGACATATTTGTTCTACTGTTAAATGTCATTTCAGATGATGATGCGCCATAATCGGATGAACTAGTAGTTTCCTTATTTTGTACAGATTGTAAACTTTTGGTTTGTATTTGGTTTTAACTGTTCGTGGATTCATCAACATATCCTTCCGCAACACTACTAGATTTCCAACCACCGTGCTTTTTTAACAGAAGCAAGTCACCTCCTACATCCACTAATAGCGTTACGGATGTTCTGCGGAAACAGTGCCCAGTGTAATCTTGAGGATTCGGAAGCGTTAAAAACTGAGCAATTTCGTTAGGAAATTTACTGATTTTATTAATTCCAACAACCTGTCTGCTACACTTTCCATTCTGATAGTTAATAAAGAATCTTGAATTAATTTGATCCATGTTTGCGGGACGTAGGCTCATATATTTTTTAGAAATATCATAAAAGGGTCCAGAAATATGAAAAGAACGCGGAACTTTTGTTTTTGTATTACGGATTTTAACTAATAGAATACTTCCAGTATCCTTTACATCGCTTATTGTTAAATATTTTAGTTCGTGGCAACGACAAGCGCCAGATAATCCAAAAACTAATGCTACCTACAAATATTAGTAGTTATGTATTAAGTATTTGTTAAAATAAAAATAATAATTCCGTTACCTGTGTTATTAAATATTTATAGTCAGGTACATTCTTTAGGAAAGTCTTTATGTCTTCAGGCGAAAAAATTTTGGATTTTTGGCTTTTAAAACCATCAGATTTTCTTTTCAAAAGCGAACGTAACTTTGGATATTTACTAATATCGACATCATTTTTAACAGAGAGAGTAGTTCTTAGCATCGAATAAATGGACCATAACGTCGACGGTTTAAAATTTGAACATATTTCTCCAAAGTATGCTAGTAGTACAGTTTCCGAAAATGATTTCACTTTATTTTTTTCTCTCCAGTCCAAAAATTTGATATAAATTTCTTCATATCTCTTTTTTGATTTGGCCGGTAATAAATCTGAAGAGGTTTCTTCAGCTTTAAAAATAATTTCTGGTGGAGTACAATCGCTTTCTGACTCAGACATCATGAAAATGTGTTAAATTTAGGACGAACTGAAACTGACAGTTCTCAAAAGTGATAAACCTTCAAATAAACAAATGAAAACCAGGAAACTAGATGTAGATTGGTTTAATTTGCACTATTTTTATACATTTTTATTTTATCTTTAATTCATTAAAGTTTAGGTAAAAACGCATATAGAGTTTAATGAGCATCTTTTTATTTAATTATTTATAATTATAAGCTGCCAAAATATTATACGAGGCGACTGATATATGAAAATATGTAACAACTTACTTTCGTCACTAGAGACGAAAGTAAACGTTATGGGATTTTTTCTCACTAGTGAAATCAAGTTTTCGCTGAAAGTATCCTGTGGCGAAAGATGTCTTTTTGTAAGAGTTCGTAGAAAAACAATTTTTACGTATTTGAACACCTTATTGTTTTACGCAAATCATTTCTGTAATACTAAATATTATTAAATATACTATATTCTATAAACATAATTATATAATTACATTAATCTAATCGTTTTCAGTATTATATAATTTCATAGTACATCAATTCTAAGGATTATTTTTTATTTTTACTACAAGAAAAATTATGTAAGTACAGGTAAAGGCTCAACCCGTACCCCTATGGAGTTACATTTTTGAAAATTTGATTCGGTTTCTTTTGAACAAAATCTAAAAGATGTCTTTCTATCGAAAAGTAATACAAATAAAAATGCTAGAAGGTAACAATATATTTAATTTTTAGCTACAAGAGCATTTATTTTTCTTACAAACAAAATACGTTAAAAGCTTTTTCGTCTAGAGGGTGATGCCAACAAAATTTATATCCTTTTACAAGTAATAAACAGTACGCGATTTGAATTTATTTTGTATTATGTCTGTACACTTTGTTATTTTTTACATACAGTAATTTCACTCAAGCTGATTGTGCATTGTGGCACAATGAAAGACGAAAACGTGTCACTACTTCAAAATTTGGAGATATTTGTAAAAAACGAAATGCCTTCTTTAAAAAATCTCATAAAATCTTTTATTTTTTGCTAAAGCCACCCAATATAGCATGGATAATAAATCCAGAAAAAAATAAGAATTGGAAATTTATTTGCAAGAAAAAGTTTTTACATGTGGACTTTTTTTTGTATATTGTAAAACGCAGATGAATAACTGTCACATCAATAGAAATTGAAAATTCACATATGAATCTTTGTAACGTAATTATTTATAATTTTAATAACTTCATACGGTCAAAAAAATTTGCTAACTTATTTAATTCTAAATATAAATTGGATTTAAATTCATTTTAAAAGTTCATTATATTGTTTAGTTGTTGCAACTTTACTGCGCTTAAGTACCGTTCAAATTAAAATATGAATTGATTTATGGAGCTTAACTGAGAAACAGGAAGCATTAGCTTTCATTCCAATAAAAAAGTATTATGGTCAATAAAAGGAATTTCGAACTGTGATATCTTCAACTCTGTAAATAATAAAACGGACATAAAAGATTTGTCAAACGTTTATTTTAATATTATTAAATAATTGTAAGCTTTCTAATTCTTAACTGTAACGCCACTGGTAATTTTTAATTTTGTAAAAACTCATCTTTTTGTTTCCATACTTTATCGTTATCGTGTTAAACCAAATCAATATTATTTCGAATACACCTTCACACGATGAAACAGAAAGATACGGTTCTGTTATTTTAAAAGTGTTTGTAATATGACCGCATAAACCAAGGAAATTTTTATTTGAATAAAATTCTGCTACGGTCAGGAAATTATCCTTATCTTTATTTTTTATATAATTCGATACCCCAGTTCTATACTGTAACAACTCAAAAATCATAGTTTTGAGAATATCGCAATTAAAAATGATAGTCACAGTTATTTGATTGTACTTCTTAGGTTTATCTGTTTATGATCAAACATTTTGGCTCGTTCATAGTTTGAAGGTATCTATTAACTTCCTTAATCAACAAAATTCATAAAATATCAAAACTTTTGGTAAAAAAGGAATTTGTTCGGACATGTTACACTATTGATCTGAAATACATGAATAACTTCAAGGGAAATAATTCTAATAGTTTTGAAAATTTGTATTATCTAATGAAAAAGTAACAAAACATCTACATAACTATAGTATAAAAAATAAATAATATTTCTTGGTGCGTATTATATTTCTTCATCATCAGACGCTGCTTCAGAATTAACATTCGATTCTTGGAGATTCTCATAAAAAGGCCAGTGTACAACAGGAATTACATTTTCTCTACACATTTCGAGTAAATTTTTTTTCTTTTTGACAGAAATTGTTGGAGGATTAGTGTAAGCTCTAGTAATTTCCAAACTGGATATATCAGTTTTACATCGTACATTCTTTTTTTTCACATAAATCTGTTTGAAGTTACTCTCTGCATACGATGTTTTATAAAAAATCGTGTATGGATGTTCTTTCTCGAATCTGACTATTTTAACATCCTTCCACACAACTGGTTCATTGTTTTCATTTTTGTTGAAGTTGTTTCCAATCTTTGAAATAAATTTTTTGAAATCAAGAATATCATTAGTTGATATTTCTTCCAATTTGTATGGATGTCCCTGTTTTTTGGCACTGCGTATTATCATTGCCCATTGCGCGGGGATGTAAATTGGACCGCTCTTCAAGACCCTCCTCTTTTCCTTCTCTATAGTGGCATGCATACTATCTCTCCTTCGTTTTGAGTATGCCCAACGATGAGAAACTTATGAGAAATGGAATAAATATTTTTAAAATGTTGAACACAATACAAGTATATTCCAAATATAAATTTGTTTTTGTTCTGGCCAACACAATTATCAGAGTAAAAAACCATATCTCTTTCTTTGTGGTCAGCTATAAACTTATACACACAACTAGATATTTCATTTGCTCCTCTTTTTGCTATGGCCTCATGCCACAGGTAGCAATATCCTTTTTTATCCTTTAAATCAAAAATGGTGAAGTTTAATGTTGATAATTTGCTTTTATAATAAAAAGCATTTACATCTCCACATGGAGTAGGCAAAACAGCTTGTAAATCATAGCTATAAACACAAATGTTAGGGTTTTCTACATCTCGAATTTTCTCTAATCTACTTTGATCTTTTTCTTTCAAATGATTCTCATATTTTTCTCGTATATTTGCCTTGCTCTCCTCAGTTGCATTTTTATAATTTTCACATAGTGTACATTGATCTTTTTTCGGCATATGGAAAGCTATATTGGTCTCAGTATTGAAAATATGCGCGTAAGTTCCATATTTAGCAAAGTCAATTCCTGTATCTTCACATTGTTGAACATAGAGACGGTGCATTATTCGAATTTTCAAACTTCCTTCCAAATATTTCTTATTTGTGCGTGTTCGACAGTAATGGGAGCTGACCCGTGGAAATGAGTCAATGTGTCTCATAATATCACTTCTAATATTTTTTGGAATTCTTTTGTGTTGAGTATGTTTTCCTCTTTGATCAAGTTCGATTGTTCCTTGTTGGTCATTTTTCTTAGTGGTTGTGAAAATTGTTCGATTATTGATTCCAAGAGTATTCTTAAAGAAGGTTTTGCAAACTTGAATACTTACATTATCAATTACGAAGGAATACTTGTAGTTTTTTGATCTCTTACTCCCAGGTTTAGAATTACGATAGGTGGGATTTATTTCAGACATGCAGGTGTTCACAAAATTTCTTTGCAGATTGATATCCCCTAATTTCCAATAAAAATCAAAAATTCTCTGCCTTTCATTATCATTCACTTTAGAAGAACATTTAATTCTACATTTTTCAGAACAGGTAACACCCATTCTTCTTTTTGCTACACTTTTTCCGTTCACTGTGGTGTATACCTGGCCAGAATTTCTATTTTTCTTGCGTTTGTTTTTTTCCCAAGATTCTGGATTTCTCATTCTCTTTCTTACTAACTTTTTAGAAACACGTTCTGTAACTTTTTGATCAGATTCATCGACTCTCTCAGCCCTGACTTCAATAAAATCAGGACCTTTGTTAATTTTAAGTGTTTCCCTTTCATCATCTGTGCTTTCATCAGATGGGAAATAATCTCTGTCTCTGATACTTTCGTCACTATGAAAATCCTGCTCCTGCTCGTGTGTTGAACTAATATCCTCCTCTTCATTCCCAGATATAACTTCATTTTTAAATTTTAGAGCCATTTTTTCTTTGCTGCAGCAAGCATTTGCAGTTTCATTAATATTTATATTTTTTTCTCGTAGAATTTGGCCCTAAAATAATATTACAGTACTTTTTTAGCTTTAAATAATTTAAAATTAAATAAATATTATGGTTCGTTATACCGAAGAAGAGAAGAAAGATATATATGATGTGTACATAAGATGCTATAGGAATGAAACCCGGTCAGCTCAGACTTATTTAGATTTATATCCTGATAGACAACAGCCATCTAAGAGGATGTTTTCTTATATTTCAAAAAATATGGCAGAGTATAGCAGTGAGAACAAAAGGAGAACTAGATATCAGGTTCGACATACTGATAATGAAATTAATGTTCTTGCCCAAATACATATTAACCCTGAAAATTCTACTAGGCGAATAGCTAAAGAATGTGTAGTAGGAACCTCAATGGTTAAAAGAATTTTAAAGAAACATTAATACCACGGGTATAAATTTCAAAAAGTCCAGTAATTATACGCTGGAGACTCTGATAGAAGACTGATGTTTTGTCGTTGATATAGTAGAAAACTGCGCAATGACCGTTCTTTCAACAAAAAGATATTATGGACGGATAAATGCTCCTTTACTAATAGTGGTATATTTAATCCTAGGAACAAGCATTTGTATGCTACTTCTAATCCCCAATTTAATCAGAGAAGTTAGACCACAGTTCCGTTTTACCCAAAATGTGTGGTGTGGAATAATCAATAATCAGATTTTTTTTTAAGGTGAAGGGGGAGAAAAAGTCCTTTATATCTCACAAGGAAAGTCAATGTTTAATTATTTAACAAAACATTGAGTGCGACCGGTTTCGAAGTGTCATCACTTCATCTTCAGGCTCGCCTAGTGGAAAGGAGAATATGTGGTGTAAGGTGTGTTAACTTGGAGCAAACGATATATAAAATAGTAAAAAAGAGAAAACTCACCATACTCTCCATCCACTAGGGAATACTACAAAACAAGTTTCATCAAATGTAGGGTGAAATAAATTGTAAAATGAACAAAGTTTACATGTAATAAAAAGTTAAAAATATTTAAAAAAACAAATATTAGTCAATTGAAATAGTAAAAATTTAAAATATTCAAGACCATACAAAACAAATCACATACATTAAACAGATTAAAAGATAAGGCCTATTTTAAACAATCTTGTTGTTTTTTCAAAAAACTAACATTTTTGAAAGGAGACCTGTCAAGTTAAGGCCTCTACAGGTGGTGGCAAGTATTAACAAAAAAAAAATTCTTGGGTAAACCCATGACAGGGTATAGGTAATAAGATGTAAACCATGAGTGAAGAAATATTTATTATTTATTATATAAGATTTGGGCCATTTATATAATAAGTAATAAATATTTCTTCACTCATGGTTTACATCTTATTACCTAGACCCTGTCATGGATTTACCCAAGAATTTTTTTGTTAATACTTGCCACCACCTGTAGAGGCCTTAACTTGACAGGTCTCCTTTCAAAAATGTTAGTTTTTTGAAAAAACAACAAGGTTGTTTAAAATAAGCCTTATCTTTTAATCTGTTTAATGTATGTGATTTGTTTTGTATGGTCTTGAATATTTTAAATTTTTACTATTTCAATTGACTAATATTTGTTTTTTCAAATATTTTTAACTTTTTATTACTTGTAAACTTTGTTCATTTTACAATTTATTTCACCCCACATTTGATGAAACTTGTTTTGTAGTATTCCCTAGTGGATGGAGAGTATGGTGAGTTTTCTCTTTTTTACTATTTTATATATCGTTTGCTCCAAGTTAACACACCTTACACCACATATTCTCCTTTCCACTAGGCGAGCCTGAAGATGAAGTGATGACACTTCGAAACCGGTCGCACTCAATGTTTTGTTAAATAATTAAACATTGACTTTCCTTGTGAGATATAAAGGACTTTTTCTCCCCCTTCACCTTAAAATTACCTCAACTCACACATGGCTACCCCCCTTGTCAATAATAATCAGATTATTGGGCCGATTTTTTTGGATGGTAATTTAAATCAGTTTCGATACCTACATTTATTGGAGGAAGTACTCGATGAGATACCCTTACAAACAAGACAAAATCTTCAATATTTTATGCAAGACGGTTGTGGTGCACACAGTGCTAGGAGGGTTGCAGAGTATCTCGATCAATATTTTAGAGGTAATTGGATTGGTACCAATGGACCAATAAGATGGCCTCCTCGATCTCCGTGTCTTAACTCCATGAATTATTTGTTATGGGGCTTCGTAAAGAACCAAATCTACGACAAAAATATGCCAAATAATCTACAAGAACTTCGTCAACGAATAGTAGATGCATTTGAAAAAATTACACCAGAAATGATTGATAAAACTACATCCCAAATATCTAGGAGAATTGCAATCTGTATCCAACAGAATGGACTACATTTTGAGCAACTATTGTGACTGTTTTTGTTTTTGAATTTTGTTTTTGTTATTAGCTTTATTATTTGTAGAATGTGTACAACCATAATTCGTTCTTCATTAGTCTGGTTTGCTGGTTGTACTTAATCATGTTTGATAAAAAATTGCAACCCATTTTGTAATTAAATAATTCTTGTAATATGTTTCAAATAATATTTAAAATTTCACATTTTAAGCATTTTTTGTTTTTTAATTATTATTTAATTAGCTATCTTGTTTTAATCAAGTAAGAAACGGTATCATCAGAAGTTACATAGCTGATGATATTTTCATAGACAAAACGTAATAAAATGGTTAAGTGTAACATATCGTTGTATTTAGCTATACAAAAGCTCTAAAAAATTATAATTAAAAATCCAGGTCCGTATTTAAAAAAATAAGTGGAAGGTGGCCTTGCAAATACGAAACGTCGTAATAAAAATTTTGGCATTTCAGTTTATAGGGAACTTGATTTATAACAAAAACTTTGTACAATTTTTGTACGTAGCGTAGCCGATTGAGATCCCGTTACCTCGGGGTGGTTTGAATTTATTTGATGGGCCGAAGGCCCATCCTCTACTGGGGCCGCAGGCCCCACCTGGTCGTCTTCAATGTCGCTATTTTCTGTCCATGGAGTTGGTATTTCAGGTGATTTGTAATATATGAAATATGCCCAAAAATGTTCTTTAATTAGCTTGAATTGTGCCTCGTAAGGTGCTTCTCCTGTGCATGCGCAGTACATTTCTAATAGTTGTTCTACTTTTAATATATTGTTTTTTACGTTAAATTCACTAATCCATGGGTATATTTTTATTATAGGATGTTTTAGTGCTTCTTCTTTGTGTTCCCAATACCAGTCTATGAATGAGTAAAAGTTTTTTCTGTTAAATATTACTTGTTTCCTTTTTTTGTTATTGAAATTTCCTTTTTCCTTGTATTTTTTTAAATCTCCTGTTGTGTTTATTATAATATCGTGATTTGCCTCCTTTGTTACGTAATTTATTGTATTAGATAAGTTTTGTATTTTTCTTACTTTTATTTCAAGTGATGTGCATTTCGTTTCTTTTCTTATGTTAAATCCAATGGTTTTTGTTGTAGATTCACTTTCTATTATTATGTTAGCGTGTTTATGGTCCTTATTTTTTCCGTATTGTATTTTTGTTGTAACAACGCACGACTTAAAAAACGACCATTCACTGTTGGGTGCTGTTCCTAAAGTGGCGCTGGGAAACAGTAACAAAGCCTACACAGAACACGAGGCTAATGGCCGTAGTAGTCGACGCCGATGACACCAAAATAAAAAAAATTAGGTTTTTCGGATTTTATCGAATATCTCCGGAACCAGTCAGAAAATCTGGAACTTCTATGGACCATTGTATTATCCATCAAAATACGAACCTTTTTCTCTATTTAACCGACAATGTATATTTTACGGTTTACGAGATCTCTGTATACGCAAATTAAATCTGGTCCACCCTGTATATACTTACATAAATCCTCTTATATTATTATCTGTCTCTTTGCTACAAATTAATATAAATTTATTTCTTGTCACATTTACTTTAAACCATCCCTAGAATTAATTTACATTTTTGACATCTTACAAGTGTTACTAACTGAGCATTCTAAGACTTATGTTGATACTATGTTTATATTAGGTGGGGACTTTAATTGTAGGATTTCAGCTCAAGGCATTGTGCCTGTTGAAATTCAAGAACATATTACTAAAAATATTAAACAAATTAATGGAAACAATAATAAAAATTATAAGATCAAACCTTGGATTACCTTGGGCATAATTAAATCTATAAGACGTAGAGATTACCTAAAAAAAACAATATCTTAGGAATAAAAATAGTAATGAACTTCTGCAAGAATACAAAAGGTACCGAAATTTTTTAACCAAATTAATTAAAGAAGTAAAAAATAATTACTACCAATTTGAAATTACAAAAGCAAAAAATCATTTTAAAAAATTTGGGACACAGTAAAAAAGGCATCTAACACAGAAAAAAATAACAAAAAAGAAAGTTACAATATCATAAATGAAAAGGGAGAAAAAGTTAAATGTAATAAAACTGAAGCAAATGTATTTAATTATTTTTTTGCAGAAATAGGTTATAAAATGATAAAAAAAATGATAGTCCTAATATAACTGCTTCTACTAAAACTATAACCCATAATTCTAGTGGCAATTCTCTGTTTATGTACCCCATTAAAAACAACGAATTAATAAAGCATATATCACTATTAAAAAATAAATCGGCAAGTAGCCTGGATGGATTATCGGTAACTACAATTAAAAATATACACCCTTACATCTTAAACCCATTAGCACACATTTTCAACCAAATATTAACCACGGGCAAAATACCAATATCATTTAAAGAATCTGTAATAACACCCGTCTATTAATCAGGAAAAAAAGAACTAGCCACTAACTACAGGCCTATATCAGTCATAAATAATATTTCAAAACTTTTTGAGCAATGTTTAAAAAAAAGGTTAGTTGAATTTATTGAACAAAATAAAATATTAAGTACAAGTCAATATGGTTTTAGGA